CACGAGCTTGTCATTCATATCGTCCACTGCATTGCAATCCTCTAGGCACTGAAAGCGGTTTTGTAACTCGAGCTGAAAGGTTTCGGGATTCTGGATTAGAGCACGAGGGGGACGGAGTGTTGACTTCATTAGACGAGACCTCTCCAACTTAACGTTTAGGTTCAGTGTGCCTCTAACCATTCGGTGATCGCTGCCAGTTTTCACCCTTGCGATCACTGAGACATCACTGAACAGTTGGCGTCTTGTCGTCATAATGAAGTCAATCTCATTTTTTGTCGAACCGTCGGGGCTCGACCAGGTCCACATCCTGTGGGGCCGCTTCTGGAAGAAAGAGTTCATCATAAAGAGTCCCTCTTTCTCCATAAAGTCGGCCAGCTGCCGGCCCCTTCGGTTCCGTTGCCCTACTCCAAATTTCCCCACCTTCAGCTCTCCGCTTTCTCTTGTGCCTAGTTTTGCGTTGTAGTCTCTCATCAACACCGTGTAGTGGGTTTTGGAGGAATGCATGGCTCTAGAAATATCCTCATACATTTCCTCCACCTCCTCATCGGGATGTGCCGAGGTTGGTGCGTAAAAAAATACCGTTTGGTGATTCTGAGTATCAGGTACGCGACCCTCGTCGACACACTCCCAATCTTTACAATGTTGTTGACGAGAGACTTGTAGACGATAAATCCGACACCTTCTTGGGACAGATGGTCGCCCTCCCGGTGGTAGAACAAGTTGCCGGACTCGAGGATTGCCGTATCTTCCCCCTCTCTTCGGACCTCAGATAATCCAATAATATGCCAGCGCAACTTGTCTACCTCTTCTTCCAGCTCCAGTATCTTCTCGTCAGTCCTCAGAGTGCGTGCGTTATATGTTGCCAGGTCGAGTCGTCGTAGGTGGCAACCGAACCTCCACCGGAGATTCTTAGCACCCCCTGCCCCGCCGTTACCATGGTCGCCACCGTAGCCAGGAATAGCGGGGCCGCCGGGGACTGGGGCCGTTTATTTGTGTTATTGCTCATGTCAAAATCAACATATTTGCCATAGTTGGCACGCTTGGCGAGCGGGTTGGCAACCGCAGTTTTTTATTATGTTATTGTTGTTATTAGGAAGATGCTCCTTTTCTGTGTCCCTCTGTCGCCTCTTACGACACCCACGGGAAGATATGGGGTAGTGGATATTCTCAACTGCCACTACACAGCTAAAAAATATATATAAAATTTATAAGACACAGATATTTCATTAGGTTTTGGGCTATAATGATTTGTTAAAATTATTTCTATTTCACTGAATGTCACATCAACCGCTTTTTTTGGCGTAATTAATGCAAGTAATGTCTCGTAAACTCGTGAACCACACACTGTGATAAAATTTGCTCTTTTAGCAGCATCTAATATGCCATAGTTGCCACGCTTGGCGAGCGGGTTGGCAACCGCAGTTTTTTATTATAACACAGTTGTTATCAGAAAGATGCTGCTGCCCATCTCCTGCCTGTCTCCCTCTGTCGCCTCTTACAACACCCACGGGAAGATATGGGGTAGTGGATATTCTCAACCGCCACTACACGGCATCAGCGTCCCACACGACAAAGCGAAATTCCTTCGTACAATATTAACTAATTTATTTTAACTTTTGTGGCGGCGCTGTCGTCGCGCCGCAAACGAAACACACCGAAGCCTAAATCACGCTATCAAAATTCCGAATCATAAACAGTATATATAGAACATCTCCGAACTATCTATCACATGGAGTGTTGGTCGCTCCCCGGGCAGAACACCTTGCCCGGCGGGAGATCGTCCCTTTTCCTTCTACGGCTACAGTGGTGACTACCCGACGTGACCTGAACATGCAACCAACAACCTTCGGAAACTTTAAGCTTTCATCATCGTCATAAAATACCTCACCCATTCGCTCCCGAGAAGATATCGCCTGCAATCTTCATATCCTGCAAGACATCTAGCTTCACAAGGTTCATCGCAGCACTGGAATAATAATGCTTCCTGTTCCTTCAAGCTACTCTCTGCGCTATACAGTGTCGGCACGGTTCTGAGCCTCACTGCTCGCCTCCGCTTCACGGCACTCTCACAGATTTACTTGCCTTCTTCTCGACTCACCGCAGACTACAAGGCAATCTCCTGGCACTTGCACTTTCGTCGACAACGAGGCTGCACTATCGACCTCCGGTTTGAGCAGGGGGGTGATGTGGCGGCGCTGTCGTCGTGCCGCAAGCGAAACACACCGAAGCCTAAATCACGCTATCAAAATTCCGAATCATAAACAGTATATATAGAACATCTCCGAACTATCACACGGAGCGTTGGCCGCTCCCCGGGCAGAACACCTTGCCCGGCGGGAGATCTCCCCTTTTCCTTCCACGGCCACAATTTAATTAACTACACAAGCCACAGCCATAGCAATCGAAGTTAAAATAGTCAATCAAAACTCCAAAAAGCCTCGTTGTCACGTATATTAACGACAAATTACAACACCAGAGAGGCCGTCGTTATTCGACGAGTCAACTCTTGTCAAAACGCCCGATCTCTAATCAACACGGCTCGCTCACGAAGATGGTTCTAGACTCATCTCGGGACCCCCACCGGCGCGGTCTCAGCGCTCAAAGAATTCCTGCTGACTGCACTCGCTGGCAGCGCCGTAAGTGCATAGCGAGCGCCCCTCTCCCGCGCAACGCCCGGTTTGCCGCCCGAGACGCGCGTCCCGCAAGCTGCAGCTTGTAACAATCGGGCGTAAACAAGTACATTACAAGAGGGCTGCAGGAGGGGATTTCAGCTTCGTAAAGGAGGTACAAAAGTGACTCACCTTTTTTATATGGATGACCTTTAGTTATTCGTCTCCAGTCGCTCCCATCTTATGGAATTTGAGAGTTGGCGGTTGACGGACGGACAGCGAGTAGTACCTACTGTGCTCTTAAAGTAATCGAGTTTAATTGAATTTATTTAAGTATTAAAGTTACAAAAGTGATATATGTGCTTAATATAACAAATATTGGAGATACTGAATATTAGTGTGGTTTAATTTAAAAGTAATCAAAGGTAAAAAGTGTAAATAAGGAAACAATCAGTGTAAAAGTACCCTTTAATTGTTGTTGTGTAGCAAGGATATTAATTTGTCCGAACTTACAAACTTATTCCATATATTATTACAATTTGAAAAACATTTAATTACCAGTGTATCTAAAATTGGAATATTATTAATTTACTTATAAAAAACTAAGTTTTAACTTTTAGTATATTGATATTAATTGATATAATCCCTTCTGTGACATCTGGTGGCCACTAGTTGCATAGATTAATATTCTTTGTATATATCAATAATATGGCAAAGTGTGGAGCATGTGGCCGCCACCTTTCGGTGACAGATGGCGTTACCTGTGGCAAATGTGATGCCACATATCATCGAGGTTGCCTTAACTTATCTGAAAAGGTAAAGATATCAACTTCCTGGATGTGCCCAACCTGTAAGAGTAAAGTTCCTCGTGCTGGGGGCAATTCTAATACATCGGTAAAGTGTCAGGATGTTGGAGATAATAGTCCCGTCTACAAAGACATTGACATAGGCCTAGAAATACGCCTGTTTCGTAATGAGCTCAGTGAAATGCGCAATGAGCTAAAGGATATCAGGGACAATTTCGCCATGTTAAGGGATACAATGCTCGTGTGTAATAAAAATTTGGAAGAAATTGACACTAGGGTGCCACCAAGTTGGAGAACCGAATGGAAGAACGTGAGCACAAATGTAAGTCCATGGAGCTTGAGAACACAATAGCAGAATTAAGGATCCAACTAAGCGAGAGGGATCAGGATCTGTTAGCCAATGACTTGGAAATCTCAGGTCTACCGGAACAAAAGGGGGAAGTACTCTTAGAAAAATGAAGTCAATTCGTGACAAGGCTTGCCACCGGGCCAAATTTATAAAATCGGAAAGTAGTATGTAATTTTACCGCGATCTGCGCAACTATTATAACCGAGCAGTTACTCTAGAAAAGCAGGCATATTTTACTAGGTTTGTCAACAATAATAGATCAAAGCCTTCTCAGATGTGGCGTCACATAAAACGAATAATTTCACCTGCCGTAAAAACCGTTCCATACCGGACCATCTTCTTGACCCTGATTCACTTAATAATCACTTTACAAACACCATATCATGTGCACCTCCCGACAAAAGTGTTATTCAAGAAATCGAATCACTTAAACACTCTGAAATCGAATTTCAATTTGTAGCTGTAAATGAAACGTTAGTGAAAAGTATAATTGCTTCTACAGCTACTAATGCGACCGGAACTGATGGCATCTCCATGTTGATGTTAAAACTTACGCTTCTATATTCTTTGTCAACGATAGTGGCGATAGTCTATAAATTTATTTTGGAAGGAGTATATCCAGAATCTTGGAAATATGCCATCGTCACTCCCATTCCTAAAAAATCAATGGTGGGTAATCTTTCTGATATAAGACCAATAAGCATTCTTCCTGCACTATCTAAATTAGTTGAAAGATGCGTTCTTTATCAAATTTCACCATATCTAGAACGTAAAAAAGTACTACCTGTGATTCAATCTGGTTTTAGAAAGAATCACAGTTCAGTATCAGCTCTTTTAAATATTACTGATGATATTTTTGCTGCGTCCAACGAGGGTAAGGAAACACTTATGGTTTTGCTAGACTTCAGCCGCGCTTTCGATTGTGTTGATATATCTATTCTATTGGCAAAATTAAAATACTATGGTTTCACAGAATCGGCCTGCACCTGGTTTCAATCTTATTTCGATAATCGCTGCCAAAAAGTGCAATGTTTGAATAGCCAAGGAGTTCTAAATGTCTCCAACAGGCTCCCCCTTAATAAAGGTGTTATCCAGGGTTCAATACTTGGTCCCACATTATAAATTTTATTATGTTATTATATTATTTTATATTTTATTTAATTATAATGTGCAGAGAGTGCAGAACGCATGTATGCGTTTTGGTTTTAATATACCGAAAAGGGATAGGATTTCACCTTATTTAGTCAGTAATGGCATTTTAATAATAATAATAATAACTAAATACGACGTGGGACACGTGATGGGGCGGTATTTGCTCGGGTCTGTGGTACCCTGGTCTTTAGGAACCAAATGAGTGATCCCAGTAGTGAAGAGGCTTGGGAGCGACTTCTGGTTGAGAGCCTCTTGAAACTGTCGGGCAAGCACAGAGTGACACACCATGAACCCCTTCAGCCAGTAGTGATGCAGCCCGTCAAACCCCGGACTTTTCCAGTTCGGGGCCCTACGGACCGCCTCAGCTACGTCATCCGGCGTTATGATGACGGGGTCCATGGGCGTAATACCCGCACACTGACTCGCCACAACTTCCGTCCAAGGGCCCTCGCTGTGGTTTACGGGCTCTAACCACAGGCCGCGCCAGAATGCTACAGTGTCGGCCTGATTTGGTGCTGGACCCGTTCCACTTACCATTGGTCGCTCCAATGATTCATAGAGCCTCTTCTGATCACTCTGGAAGAGACGATTCTGGTTGAACCGTGTCGACCTCTCGGTATATCGCCGAATCCGCTTTCCCCAAGCAGCGATTCTCTGCTTCAGATCATCTATGCGCTCCGTCAGTTTTTGCGTTATATCCGGCTGGGACAAACTGACATTTGTCCCAGCAAACGCCATCCTGACGGTGCGCACAATTCTTGGCCTGTTGTTGCCTGATCTGAAGCATATCAGTCTGCCGATGAGAGCTCTAGCCTTTGCGATACGTTCCACAATTCTTCTTCTCCATGCTGGGATAGCGCTACTATGGCCAGTAGCGCGTCCAGCCGTGGAAACCTTGGCGTCTATGATACGGCAGACTGCCAGCGCGGCGCCAAAAAAATTGAGTCCGTCTCGCAAAGGTCCCGGCTGGCTTCCAAATAGGTCACCAGCATTGGGTTCAGAGCCCTCACGACAGCCCGATTCCGCTTGCTTAGGGCTATGCGGGGAAGTCGCGGTCGATTTTCGAGAGGCGTACTGCGCGTTTCCACAATCGCCTCTTCCAATGTACTCCTCATATGCTCTAATTCCAGTTCCTGGGCGACTGTTCCATCATCGTTTGAATCAACCACAACTGGGGTATTCACGGCGGCATCCACGTTTGCGGGTTGCTCTACCATTTGTGGCGCCGCATCCTCAGCCGTAGCATTCTCATCCGACGAGGGAACAGCCTCACGTCGTAGCCGTTCGAGTTCGGCGACATCAAATATATTTGAGCGCAAGATATACCGAACTCGGTCTGCCAGGTTTTGCTCTGTGACGGTTAAAGATGGCTCCAGCTCAGCAAAAAGACGATGCTTATAATAATAATAAAGCGAAGACACTAACATCCATTTTGAGCGCGAGAATCACTTGTCACCTGGACTCAAATCAGGTGATGTCGCCCACTCAAAATGGATGTCGGGGCGGTGGTCGTGGAACCAAGGAACCACTCCTCATTGACGCGGTCATTGGCAAAGTGGTGAAACGCAACCGTCGGAACTTCTCCGCCGCCTGGATAGACTACAGAAAGGCATTCGACTCGGTGCCCCATACATGGCTAAAGAGAGTCCTCGAGCTGTACAAGATAGACTGTACAGTTAGAGACTTCCTTGAGCAGTGTATGGGGCAGTGGAGTACGATCCTCTGTCTTCTGGGCGAGCGGATGTTGGCTGCGGACAACCACATAAGGATAAGAAGGGGTATCTTCCAGGGCGATTGTCTGAGTCCAATCTGGTTCTGCCTCTCTCTGACCCCTCTCAGTACCTTACTGGAGGGCTCCGGGAGGGGATTTCAGCTACGGAGAGGAGGGACAAAAGTGACCCACCTTTTCTATATGGATGACCTCAAGTTATTCGCCTCCAGTCGCTCCCATCTTATGGAATTGCTAAACATCACTTGTGAATTTAGCAATTCCATTGGAATGGAGCTTGGGACGGATAAGTGTGCGGTCCTCCATGTTGAAAGGGGAAGGGTTGCTAACTCTGAGGACGTAGACTTATCTATGCCCGTCAACTTAAGGACCCTTTCTGAGGCTGAAACATACCGATACCTGGGTATGTCACAAAACATCGGTATCGATGAGACTGGTATGAAACAGTCAGTTTGCGACGTGTTTTATGCACGCTTGACCAAAGTGCTTAACAGCCTTTTGTCCGGTGTGAATAAGGCACACGCATATAACGGCTGGGTCATGCCTGTCCTCATGTATACCTTTGGCATACTCAGGTGGACTCAGACTGAACTTAACGCCCTGGATAGAAAAGTCCGCACTACCATGACGTCCCATAGGATGCATCATCCGAGATCGTCGGTAATGAGGTTGTACTTGTCGCGGAAGCATGGTGGTCGTGGCTTCTTGAGCGCGCTCACCATGCATAATCGCGAAGTGTGCAGCCTCCGTGATTACTTCCTGGCGAGATCGGATGATCCATTCTATATGGACGTCATTTCTTGTGATAAAGGACTTACCCTCTATCCTTAGCCAACGAGCAATGGCAAGACCCGGCAGTGCAGAGCATTTCCGACCGAGAGACCGTATGGAAGGAGAAGGAGCTCCACGGGAGGTTCTACAAGGCTCTACAAGAGCCTTTCGTAGACACAGTAGCCTCCCTCCACTGGCTACGCTTTGGTGATCTCTTCGGGGAAACCGAGGGTTTTGTCTGTGCAATACAGGATCAGGTTATTAAGACCAACAACTATCGGAGATACATCCTAAAGGATGGCACCGTCGACATCTGTCGAGCTTGTCGCCATCCCGGTGAGTCACTTAGGCATGTTATCTCCGGTTGTTCGGCGCTTTCTAACTCTGAGTACTTGCACAGGCACAACCTAGTAGCCAGAATTCTACACCAGGAGCTCGCTCTGAAATACGGTCTCGTGGACCGGAAATTGCCGTACTACAAGTACTTGCCGGAAGCCGTGCTCGAAAATGATCGCGCCAGGCTCTATTGGGACCGGGCCATCATCACAGACAGGACTATTCTTGCGAATAAGCCTGATATTGTGCTGATGGACCGGGCACAGTCAAGGATATTTTTGGTCGACATTACCATTCCGTATGACGAGAACCTCGTGAAAGCCGAAACAGACAAGCAAACAAAATATCTGGACCTGGCTCACGAGGTGACCGACATGTGGGGTGGTCTGCCGACCGAAATTATTCCTGTAGTCGTCTCTGCAAACGGGCTAATCCCAGTCAGCCTCTCGGGTCATCTGAGGCGGCTGGGACTACGTGGCGGACCGCTCCAGGTTCAAATGCAGAAGGCGGTGCTCCTCGATACCGCCCGCATCGTCCGCCGGTTTCTTTCCCTTTCCCCCTAACCCTCGGCCGTTTGGTCTCCCCTGCCGAGGGCTTCCATCTGGTTGGGCTTTTATTTATTTATGTATTTTTATATTTATTTTATTTTATTGATATTTTTGTATGTTTATCTTTTCATTTTCATTTATAAATATATATTTATAGATCCCAACCAGATGAGAAAACTATATAGATACCCCATAACAATAATAATAATAATATATTTTTAATTCAGACCATAGTCCATATAAAAATGTGTTAGTAAACAATTAACTTATATAACTGTGTTAATACAAAATGTGTTAGTGACTATTACTTATGCTATGTTAGTCCTTAATCTACCTTAACCTATTCAGCACCAGCGTGGGCGCTGAGGCCTAGTGCCGGTGTGCACATCATTCCAGCTCCTCCAGAGAGGGCTGTCTAGCTTAGAGGCCAACGCGCTGAGGAGGGTGTTAGTGCTTCTCACAAGCCTGCTCATCATGGACGCGGCACGCTTTCGCACAATCGCGTAGAAGTCATCCACACGACTGTCCGCAAACATTGCCGACGCACTGCAGTTTCGCGGCTTCCTCAACACCGCCCTCAGCACATTGTTGTATAGCACTCTCAGGGCGCCGTAGGTCCGCTGCGAATAGCCCGTCCACAGACTGCACGTGTAGAACGATTGGCAGTAAGCTTTAAACAACGTTATCTTAACCTGCTTTGTACACCGTGCAAATCTGCGGGCCAACATGTTGCCTCTCACCGCCAGCGCCCGGCGCTCGCGTTCAATGTCGCTGTCATCCTCCAGGCTGTCGGTTACTATATGGCAAAGGTACCTGAACTCAGTAACCTGTTCAAGGGGACACCCACATAGTTGAAAGGTGGGTTTCAATATGTAATATCTTATTTTTCCCCTTGAACACAAGAAACTCACTTTTGTTGGAGTTGTAACTGAGTCCATGTACCTTAGCATACCCTTCACAAATTTGTATTAATCGCCTAAGACCACTGATTGAGGGGCTCAACAGAACCATGTCGTCAGCATAACTAATGTTGTTTATACTGACCCCATCTACCGAACAACCGACACCAGCTCTACTGAGGCTCACAATCAGTTGATTTACATACAAATTGAACAGCCTAGGTGACGTCAGCCCTCCCTGCCGTACTCCACACCCCAGGCTATAATCTTCGCTCAACGCATCATCCCATCTCACCACATTTTTCTGGTTACCATACCAATACTCGAACAAAGCGATTAGCTCAGGCTTTAAACTGGTTTCGTTCCTAAGCTTTTGCCACAAGATTTTGTATAGCACTCGATCAAACGCTTTAGACAGATCCAAAAAGCAAGCATATACCGGTGTTTTTCTATCAGTGTAATACCGCACAGTCTGCTTGAGGCACAGTATTGCGCTCTCTGTTGAAAGTTCCGGTCTAAAACCAAACTGCGCATCGTGTACTTGGAAAGATTTACGTAACTGCGCGTCAAGCAGACTGTCGAGGACTTTAGCTGTTATTGTTGCCAAGGATATCGGCCTATAATTGGATCTGTCCGCCGCATCGCCCGTCCTGTTTTTAATAATAGGCACTACCACTGTTCTCATCATAGCCTCTGGAAGGTAACTGTGGCTTACACAAAGATTGTACAGTAGCTTGAGGACTCTGGCAATGTGCACACCCGCATATCTCAAATGTTCAACGCTGAGGCCATCGTGTCCCGGCGACTTACCACGTTTCATGTTTCTAATTGCATCATTCACTTCCTTGAAAGTGAAACGCAAGGGGCTAATCCCCGAGTTCACGATGTCCTCACCGTCGTCCAAACTACAAACTATCTTGCTAGTGTGACGGCCCAATATTATTATTAATAATTAAATTCAATATAAAGGGGCGTCAAAAATAGTCTTAAAAGATATATATTAAGCAATTAAGTTAAATTAATAAACATAAACTTAATATATTTAAGACATTATCCCAATAACATAGTAAATAAAGGCAAAATTATTGTTTTTCGTAATAAATAAATTTATTTAAAAACTTGAAAAAAATATTTAAAATAAGATAAATAATAGAAATACAAGTCAAAAAATATTATAAAATTAAGTTAAATAACGTTTATAAGATTATTAGAAAATTTGTTAAAAATTGTTTAAGTCATGGGAGGTGTTCGTGTATAAAAGAAAATTTTTTCTAAGTTGTGGAAGGAGTTCACGTATAGATGAAATTTCCTAAGTTGTTGAAGGAGTTCATGTATTAAAGAAAATTTTCCTAAGTTATGGAAGGTGTTCACGTATAGATGTCTTGTATGGAGGAAGCTGTCGGAGGTACATACCTGCAGTTGTACATATATATGGGGTGGTCGGGAGCCCGACTGCCTGAAGTACTGTAGCACAATGACTAGTCCTATATTAGGGACTTATGATATTAAACTCAATGATACAAAAGCAATACTAAAGAAGGTCTCCATGATGAATTTGCATTACAATAGTAGGGTCGTGGGTTCGAACCCTATATATTAATGACTTATGAAAGTAAGGTCTATGATCCAAAAGCAATACTATAGAAGGTCTCTATGATTAATATGCATTACAATAGTAGGGCCGTGGGTTCGAATCCTATATATGAATGACTTATGAAAGTAAGGTCTATGATACAAAAGCAATACTATAGAAGGTCTCTATGATTAATATGCATTACAATAGTAGGGTCGTGGGTTCGAATCCTATATATACATGACTTATGAAAGTAAGGTCTATGATACAAAAGCAATATTATGGGAGGTCTCCTTGATGCATAAGCATTGTATGGGGTGGTCGGGTGACTGACTGCTCCTAGTACTGTAGCAAAATGACTAGTCCTTATTAGGGACTTGAAAAGGAATACTATGGTGGCGTGTGTGCTGCTTCACGAGCAATTGGTCCGAGGTAAACTTGGACTCGCTAACCGATGTGTCCTAGACATATCATCTTAGTGCCGGTGGTAAGCGGGTTTGTTGTAGCAATACGGCTTTCCCGTGGACATCGCACACCCAAACCTTTTTTGGGCGATGTCGTTGCACATAGCGATGTGTCGTCTATCTTTCGGATTGGGATGATGAGTGTGTTTGGTAGCACTTTTAAGTGTAACAGTCATACTCAACTTCATGTCTTAGTGCATTAGCGCTATGATACATGGAGTTTTGTCCACTGGCGTCTTAGTAGTGTGCTACTATGATACGTTGGTGATATTTTTTATATAACAACAATAAAAACTTTTTTTTGCCAAAATCGATAGGATTCATGTGGGTGTGTTGTGAGGGTGCGCCACCCGTATGATAGTTGCATTGATGCTTACTGCTACTAGCGGTATTGCGTCTTGTGATGGACCTGCGGGTGTGCTGCGCCTGATTCGATGCATTCTTGTGGTTCTGGTCGATGGAGGTATACAATTAACATCTTAGTGCTGGTGGTAAGCGGGTTTGTTGTAGCAATACGGCTTTCCCTCGTGGACATCGCACACCCATACCGTTTGTGGGCGATGTCGTTGCACATAGCGATGTGTCGTCTATCTTTCGGATGGGGATGATGAGTGTGTATGGTAGCACTTTTAAGTGTAACAGGCATATTCAACTTCATGTCTTAGTGCATTAGCGCTATGATACGTGGAGTTTTGTTCATTGGCGTCTTAGTAGTGTGCTACTATGATACGTTGGTGATATTTTTTATATAACAACAATACCAACTTTGTTACCAAAGTCGATAAGAGTCATGTGGGTGTGTTGTGAGGGGGGCGCCACCCGTATGATAGTTGCTTTGATGCTTACTGCTACTTGCGGTATTGCGTCTTGTGATGGATCTGCGGGTGTGCTGCGCCTGATTCGACGCTCTCTTGTGGTTCTGGTCGATGGAGGTATGCGGGTGGTAATGTCTGCTGGGATGTATGGGGGACCTTGGGATGGTGTAAGCCCGACGATAGTCGTATTGATGCTTGTTGCGTTCTGCAGCATTGCGTCTCTGCGATGGTTGCTTGGTGGGACGCTATTCTCAATGGCGCTCTCTGCGTCTTGGTTTGACTCACACCTAAGTAGCTTTGCCCAAGTCGGGTCCCTTCATTGCGGGGCTGCAGACTGTCTGCCCTCCACGATGTTTTATATAACAACGTAATATTATATCTCTGTAACTTTCCCACCTTTGAATGATTGAAGGCAACTTGTTGGTGGGTGAGACAAACATGATCGAAAATGCATTTACTCAACGTCAGTGACACAAACCCTTTCTGATGGCGAATTATTACTCTTATCTTATAAGTGCCTTTTGGCTATATCTGCCGTTGTATTGGTTGGTGGAGCATATGTGTCGACCTCATGCGGGTGGTAGCTGGCGGGAGGATCTGAGGAGACTCTCAAGGCTGCGGCCGAAAGCCGCACAACGTGGGACCCCATTCCCTTGAGGTGAGCGGTAGACTCATGACACGCTCTGCGGCTAGTAGCCGTGCTGATCATGCAATTGGTGGTGATGCCATACACTTACATCACGTCTGCAGGAGCGGCGGTCTGGCAGGTGGTGGCGCTCACGGAGGGTTTACGGCCAGTGTGCCTATTTGCCTAAACCGTGTGACGTACATTCACTGTGGCTGGATTCGTTCGTATTCTGTTTGGCGTTTACACGCATTGACATGCGCGACTTCTGTCGATGTGTGTGCTTACGCACTAGCAAGGGGCCAAGCCTCTTTTACTGGTTCGCCAGTTATTTTGCTGTGGACAACGGTCCAGTTCCCGAATTAGCTTTCCCTTCGGGGGGAGTGCATCAAAATGGTTGGCGCTCACCGTGCACGGCGTGTGTGGGGCCGTGTACCTCCCCTACATTTTTTTAAATAAATGTAGGAGAGCGAAGCCCTTGTATCGGGTATTTTTGTATAAATATATTGTGAGCCTTTTCCAAGCGGGAAGGGATAAATAATAATAAATTAATAATGTCAACCTGATACAAGTGGAATAAAGACGTTTTACGTTCTTAACCTTTCTCGAGCCCTGTCTTCGTGAACGGGGTTCACTTAGCTTATAAGGCACTACCAACAGCTTTCAATTGCTCTAGTGAATATTCATTCTTCCAAAGGACACTTAAAAGAACTAAGTTACTAAACAAACACAACGTAAATAAGGGTTCTAACTAAGACGATCACGCCAAAATATTAAAACCGGCCTATTAATAAACCTTTTGAAAGATCATTTAGAAAGATCAAAACATATTTTATTTATCCTGGTCACATATATATATTTATTATGTAAAGGGGAATATAATACAGTTAGTATTTTTATATATTTATTATTATGAGGGGGGGGGAACCGTTACACTAGGATCCACTTTAAACTGAGCCTTGAACATATTGGCAATGTTTTCACTTCCAGTTATGCCACCCACTTCTGCTGGAAGAGGCACCCGAGCATTCAGGCCTTTCGTTTGCTGCCAGAACTCTCCGAATTTCTTCGCCTCACATGACATTGCCAATATGTCCATCTTGATTTGTTCCGCATTGTCTTGGCACCACTTAAGCTTGCTCTTAAAAACCCTGCGCGAGTCTCGCATATCCTCATACAGAGCTCCACATGTCGGCCGCCCTGCCCAAACCCAGGTTTGAAAGCAGAGACGAGCCTTTATATGCGCCGGTCTCACATGTCTATTCCACCCTGTGATGTAGCCTTTCTTATTTCGTTTTAAACATTTATGGCTGTAACTCGCAGCATCCAGCAATATAGATGTAATATCGTCATACAATTTCTCTATGACTAAGTTGTGTTCCGGTTTGTCACACATCTTATCAGAACAATCCCTCAATTCCGCCGGAAAGTCAAGTAGCCTTAGCCTGCTATTACAAAATTCAGCATACAGTTTTATCTGATCACTATCTCTGTGACCCCAGATTACCTTATTATCCGCCGTGTACTGAGCTGACTTCACTTGAGGTCGGACTAAGTTGAATTTACAGTAAACTTCCAGAGGATAATGATCAGACCATGTCACATTGGTTTTAACATGTATGCTGTCAATATATTTGCTAGCCGTACTAGTTGTAAGGCAATGGTCTAACCAGCGCGAGCAGCCGTGACTATCACAAATATATGTATATACATCAGTATTATTAGATAAAAATTCATAATCAGAACATACCCACGCCTGCTCGCTACAAAACTGAGACAATTCATTAAAAAATAACTCTCCAGGATGTGCGTTAAAATCGCCTAAGATAAAAACAATATTAATTCCGCAGTCCTCGACAATTGCATTAATTTCACTTAGGCACTCTGTGAACTCGAAAAGATTATTGGTGCAGTCAGTAGGCATATAAACCGAGAAAATTAGCATAGTATACCCACGAAGCTGGCATTTGATCGCACACAATCTCACACTGTTACATTTCACTACTGACACGGATGAAAACATATTTCTACGCCATAATAGCGCGACGCCTCCGTGTGGACGGCCGCGCAAAATGCCGGCGCTTGTGTCTACAACCGTTGTACCTGCTTCGAAGTCTTTGTGTACAGTGCCAAGGTATGGAAGGTCAAAATCCATCAGCCAGGTCTCTTGAATAGCGACCACCGACGCTCCCTCGCATAAGCTTCTCACACAATCAACCGACCGCTTCAGGGACTTACAATTGAAACTGACTAATTTCAACGTGTGACATTTATTTTTATCATTAGTTTTGTGTTGGTCCATTAATATTTCGATCCTTATCTCGATTTACATTTGCCTTTCTTGCATGCCTAAAAAATATATAACGCCTGAAAAATATGCCCTCCGGCCATAATTCTTTATTACTAAATAACGACAGTTTGCTCCTAGGTATCAAAAACTTAAAGGAACTATAGTCCCTAGAAGATTTCATATTTATCTTTTCTGGCACTATTCTTATCTGAGTCTTTTGTTGTATATATTCCGCTACATCATGTTCAGTATTTTCTTTTGAGACATTATATATATATACAACGGGATTTGTGTGTCCGCTGCTTTCAATCTCGAAGTCGAGTCTGTCATCGCTGTACCTCTCTCACCTTTGAAACGCGATGTACGTGTTCCTCGACGCCTCACTATACGAACCCACTCCCCTTCACTATCATTCTGCAAACCACTTTCATTCAAATCAACCGCCGCCGCCGGTATAACACTGCGCCGTGACGTCACCTCATCGGTTACACGATGCGCGAGCGCTTCATTGTTCACAGTGCCCTGCCTTATAATATCATTTTCGCTCCGGACACTCTCGCTACGCACTCTATTTGGATAGTGCATAGGTGCGACAGGGATAGATGGCTCAGTTAACACCGCCGGTGCATCTCCCAGCATAGAGAGTATTTAGAAGGTATAATTTATTAATTGTTTTATTTTTATTTTTACTTTCTTATTGTTGATACGTGTGTTTCATCAATTGCCTAAGACCCTGTATGAATTATGCGCAAAGGCTGTGGCAGAATAGCAGGAGTAATGGGTTTCCCGTTACAACTGAGTCACAGACCGTTTTGTCACAACTAAAAAGTTATTATTATATTTATATTATAATTATTAGGCTCTCTATTTAAATTTTAACATTGTATTTTTGTGTGGCAAATAAATACTTTTTATTTATTTATTTAAGTAGCCATTAACACTGTGATACTATGTGCTAGAAAGTTCATCATCATCATCACTACAGCCCTTCACAAGTCCACTGCTGAACATAGGCCTCCCCCAAGTAATGCCATAAAGCACGGTCCTGAGCCACCTGTACCCATCGACTTCCTGCATAACTTACCAGGTCGTCACTCCATCTAGTGGGGGGTCGCCCTACACTACGCCTACCGGTACGAGGCTGCCACTCGAGAACCTTTCTTCCCCACCGGTTATCGGTCCTTCGAGCTATATGGCCGGCCCATTGCCACTTCAGCTTACTGATACGTTGGGCTATATCGGTCACTCTGGTTTTACTGCGGATATCCTCATTTCTGAGTCTATCACGCAGAGAAACTCCGAGCATAGCTCTCTCCATAGCTCGCTGAGCGACCTTGAGCGTCCTCATACGGCCAGCGGTGAAGGACCACGTCTCAGATCCGTAAGTCATTACTGGCAACATGCACTGGTTATACACTTTAGTTTTCAGAGATTGAGGTATACCTGACGAGAAGATGTATCGTAATTTCCCGAACGCTGCCCAGCCGAGTTGAATCCGTCGATTGACCTCTCGGTCGAAGTTGGACTTACCTAGTCGGGCTATTTGTCCCAGGTAAACGTACTCGTCAACAACTTCGAGCATAGTGCTCCCAACAACTACCGACATAGGTGTGACATGGACATTAAATATGATCTTTGTTTTGTCCATGTTCATCTTAAGACCTATCCGTTGGGAGGCACTATTGAGGTCATTGAGCATAGTGCTTAAGTCCTCCAGCGATTCTGCCATAAGGACTATATCGTCGGCAAATCGAAGGTGAGTGATGTACTCGCCATTGATGTTAATACCGTATCCTTTCCAGTCCACTAGCTTGAAAACGTCTTCCAACGCAGCGGTGAAGAGTTTCGGGGAAATAACGTCACCCTGTTTTACACCTCTCTGCAGTTGGATAGGTTTAGAGCTCTGGTTCTGTACTCGGATAGCCATCGTAGCCCTACTGTAAAAACACTTCAGTACTTCGATATACTGACAGTCAACTTGGCACCGCTGAAGGGACTGTAGCACCGCCCAAATTTCGACTGAATCAAAGGCTTTCTCATAGTCCACATACGCCAGGCAAAGTGGCAGATTGTACTCTTCGGTCTTCTGTACAATCTGCCGCAGGATATGTATGTGGTCTATGGTACTGAAGCCTTTTCGGAAACCGGCTTGTTCGGGAGGCTGGAAGTCGTCGAGTCTGTGTGCGAGACGATTCGTAATGACTCTCGAAAACAGCACGTAGACGCGGCTCAGAAGGGAAATCGTTCTGTTGTTCTTCAAGAGAGCGTTGTCGCCTTTCTTAAAAAACAAGACTACCGCACTTCTGCTCCACGCCTCTGGAGTAGTGCCACCATGGAGAACGGAGTTGAAGAGCTTCTGAAGGACTTCAAGTACCGGTGTTCCACCCGCTTTCAGAAGCTCCGCTGTAATTCCGTCCTCGCCTGGGGCCCTGCCGTTTTTAAGGTGCTGGAGAGCCATTATATTCTCGCTTAGACTGACGTCCGGAATATCATCGGAATAGTGTCGGATAAGACTTGCTCTTGGATCGTTACTCACACTTGCGTGTGGCTCCAACGATGATGTGTACAGCTGCCCATAGAACCTCTCAATCTCAGTCAAAATCTCAGGTGTCCCGGAAACGATACTGCCACACTCAGTCTTCAGCTTTGACAGTTGGCTCTTACTGGCAGACAGATCCCTGGCAAAGACTTTTTACACAGAGCACGAGGGATCTGTGACAACAAATACCTGGCCGCCGAGCTTCAGCACGTCAAGCAAGTTCTGCACGACAACAAGCTTCGGGTCCCGCGCCTACGTCACAGTGACCGAGTGAAGCTGGCCACAGTCGAGCGTGTGCCTGCTGTACTACCCTATGTCAGAGGTGTCACAGACAAGATTGGCTATATCTTGAAGCGAGCTTCTATTAGAACATTCTACAAGCCGCCGAAGAAGATTAGTCAGTTCCTACCATCCGTCAAGTGTCATATTCCTCTACAAGATGCAGGAGTGTACAAGCTTGATTGTGAATGTGGTCTCTCTTATATAGGACAAACAAAAAGATCAATTAGGACCCGCGTAAAAGAACATATAGCTGATGTGAAGCATCAACGTTCCGGGAAGTCTGCAGTTTGTGATCATATCCTAGACGGACCCAACCATTATATCAGATTTGATAGACCACAAATCCTCGCGAAAGAATACCGATTCCTACCAAGGATGATACGTGAGGCTATTGAAATTAAAAAACATCCTAATTTCAATAGAGAAGGAGGCTGGGTACTACCACCTGCTTGGGATCCTATAATCAATAAAATTAAAACTAAACCCAAGCATACCACTGCAAGACCTCAAGACATAGTCAGTTCATTTTGCATAGATCGGACCATAAACAATAATTAAAAAAGCTGAAGGTACTCCGGGTTTAACAATGACATCGGGACGTCAGTCATCTCAGTCCCCCGTGACCATGGGTGCTGGAAAGCGCCCGAAACGTCGGGAATTAAAAATAAAAGTAAATAAAAAGTAAAAATAAACGCGATAAAATCCGTAAAAGTAGTTTTAATCAAGCTCGTTTGGGACCACGTAGAATTATGGTGCGAATAATAATAAGTTAGTCTCCATAATAACAACTACATACAGTAAGTGTATAAATATTACTATACATCAACTTAATATAATATATTGCTTTTCAAAGGGTTTATTGTTAAGTTTTAATTCAGCCTATTTTGGTTTATGTAAATCAGTAATTTTCATTGTCTCGTTAGTATTTGTGTGTCTGACAAAAGTGTTCATACCGTGAGTAATCGCAATTTTTTTTACTATATTTTTTCGGGTCATTAGTGGTAAACAGTTCCTTAAGTTTTTTACTCTACTTACATAAACACAATTTTAATTTTGTATTTATATATAAACACACATATTTTTATTTTTATATTTTTAACGTAAATAATTTTAACACTCGGAAAGAATTAACCTTAATATTCAATAATAATAAATGTAATCTATCAAAATTTATACATAACGTCTTGTCAATATATAATTTATATGTAACGTGTTGTCAGTTTAGTGCACAAAGTAAACATACATCATGTCTTAATAATATTCATTTATTATACGTAAATCCTGAGATGTACTATTTATTTATAAGATTATATTTACAATATATAATATTTCTTATAATTAGAAAAACCGTATTTGGTATTTTATACTCATTATTACCTCATTACTATCTGTTAACAATGGATAAATCTTTTTATTCGGCCAACGTTAGTAGTGATTCAGTTAGCAATGATTAAGTTTAAAGAATGAAAAGTTGGTTTCTTTAATGCGGGTTCATTGGGTACGAAACACGAGGAATTCCTCGTAGCCATGAGTCAACATGATGTTGATCTCATGGCGATAAATGAGACCTGGCTGCGGGAAGGCGAAGATGGGCGCGCTCCGCTCGTACCTGGTTACCGCCAACGTCACGTGCCGAGACTACACTCTGTGTGCGGTGGCCGTGGAGGGGGTGTAGGCTTCTACTTCAAAAAGGGAATCAACGCCCGAACATTATCTACTCCTCACCACAACTGTGTAGAAGAGATGTGGCTAGCCCTGCATATAAACTCAAAAAAAATTGTGATAGGCACGGCTTACCGCCCACCATGGCTTAGCGTTGAATTATTTTTTGATGCTATTACTGACAGCCTTAGCACATTTTCGCACGATTATGTTCTGATTTTGGGAGATTTTAATATTAATTTAATTGGCACAGAAGATGTGAAGACCAAGCGTTTTATGGAATTTATAAATTATTTTAATATTAAACAATTATGATGAAAGTGGGCTTAAAGAAACTGTTCTTGCTAGGGGTGTACGCCCCAGACATGTCTAAGCCCACTTATATTCGAGAGCAGTTTTGGGACATAGTAAGGATGGTGTTGACAAAATGTAAGGAAAATGAAAATATTATTATGTTAGGAGACTTTAATGGAAGGGTTGGGGTGAAGAGGTCTGGTTATGAAAGGATATTGGGCACGTTTGGTGATGAAAGTATAAATGAGAATGGTGAGGACCTCCTCACCGTATGTGTTGAAAAGAATCTCTTTGTGACGAATACTTTTTTTCATCATAAGAAGATTCATATGTATACATGGGAAAGAGGTGATGATAGAAGCATGATAGATTTCGTAATTGTGGATGAAAAAATGAGGAACGCAGTAGTAGATACAAGGGTTTACCGGGCGTCCAACGTAGGGATGGATCATTACTTGGTCTTATGTCGTATTAATGGTCTTTTCAAGCGTTGGCGGCATCGGACATCTCTGTCTACCACTGCGTTACAGCGTATAAGAATAGAGAAGTTACAAGATGAAGATGTGAAAGAGAAGTATAAATGTAGACTGAGAGAAAATATTAGGTGTTTGAATGAGTTTTGTATGAATGATTTAGACTTGAATACTGTGTAGGATAATATTAAGAAAGGTTTGGTGGATGCAGACACAGAAGTATGTGGTGTAAGTAAGAGAACAAATGAAAGGAAAAGGAATACGTTGTGGTGGGATGATAAGGTGCGGGTGGAAGTTGAATCAAAGAAGAAAGCATGGTTAGATTTACTAGCAAC